GCGTGCATTCTTCATCAGGTATTTATCAATCCTTACTTGTTAATCTTTTTCATTCCATCTGCCGGAATTCCAAAGAAGATAATTTTGAAAATAAGGGCTCAATCATTGGATTTGATAAAGAATCGAGAAATAATTTTAGAGATTTTTACCCTGATGTCTCCTTTATGGTCCACCATGTATATTATATATAAAATAAAATGTGACAGTAAAAAAGTAATAACTAATAACTAATAACTTTTTTATATATAATATTATCTATTATTTTATATAAAACCAAGATTTTTTACTGTAACTACCCAAAATAAAACCAGTATAGTAAAATAAAGCATTATTAGACAATCATTAAAATAATAATTATTGGTTCATTAATTATTGATATAATCTATATTAATAAAAACGTAAATGTTTGTTTGTTCAAAATCGCTAATCGCTAATCTATCGCATTCAGAAGAGTGTTTTTATATACATTTAATCACCCTCCGATCTTTATTTTTGGAAAGGCGTCCGAAAAAGCCCAAACGGCTGTAACGATTTTAATTTTACTTGGCTGAAGTCTTCTCCTTGAAGCCCTTTTAATTTATGTATATAACATCCTTCCCCGAAAAGAGTATGAAAAAAAAGTTACTATGGTTTCAAAACTATATTTGCGAATACCTCAAAAAGTACGCAATTTTCGTTAGATTATACCCATCATTATTTGAAAGCTTCCTTGATCTCCTGTAAATAAAAAAAAAAATCACTAAAATCGGACGATTTGGTGCAGAGATATAATGCTTTAAACATTTAGTAATTTTTCTCGTGAGATTTAGAGACCGATTGCTTCTTATATAGACAATTATATGTTGCAAATTCTAGAGTTGGAAAACCAGACAATCTCTATATCTATACAAAGAATGGAACAACAAAGAATATCGCATATTCACAAGTATTGTTACATAAAATATATTAGAAACATCTAATTTCTTTTCTACTTATTTTTTTATTTAACCAGAATGAGCCACAGCAACGCGTGGCCGGGTACAAATAGTACGTAATTTTTTTCACAAATTATAATAATATCATTAAATTAAATTAATATATTATATAGAATTTATTCAATTCATTTTGTTTCTGATAAAATTTTGTTAATTTATTTTTATAATTATGGTAAAAATGTTGTGACCTCTGTGATCTAACTTAAGGTCGATAAAATCTATTACAAGATAATGTACCATCCTTTTTACTAATTTTAGTTTTTATCTCATTATTTCTGTGTATTGTCAACAAAACTATTTGTATCAGTTGAGGCTGAAAGTATTTATTTTGAATAAATAAATTAAAGAAGAAAAAAACGAGGTTCTGATATTCTCAAGCGATAATTTAGATATTGGTTCTTTTTCCATTTTGACGAATGGAAATTAAATATCAATTTACTTGCTTGTTTGTTTGTTTTTTGTTGTTTTTATATTATATTTCCTCATATAGATTGAAACAATTTTAATATATACGTAATTTATTTATTTGCGAGCTAGAATACATTCCCCTTTAATCAATTTATCCCTGAAATAAATGAGCTTACATTAATACCGGGAAGCGTTTCGCGCGGTGAGTCAGCGAACGTTCCCTGAATGTTCTGCGTTATTAATGTTGTTGGGAGCTCCACTATACTGGGAACCAGTTTGGTAATGAGGTATTTTCCAGTTGGTCTGAGGTTCTTTCATTTATTTTCTTATTTATTCATCGAAAATAAAAGTTTTGATCGATAAAAAAAATAACAATTAAGATATATGAAAATTATATCCTTCATGTATTTAAATACCGTATAGAGAACAAAAACATTGCCCCATGTGCCGGTGTTCTTAAAATGTATCACTATAACCAATTCGGAAATTTTAAATACTTTCTTATAACTGTGAAAATCCAATTAAATTTAATATCCTGCTATCATCTTTGTAGGTAATTGGTAGTATGTAAGATGGAATCCGTTAACATCTTTTTTAACTCTTAATAGGACAATTTTCAATTTATCAACCTCACAATATTCGCTATCTCATGAATTGTTTTTATTATTTTTTTTTTATTGTTATTAATAACGAGAATAGTCCGGAAGATTTTATACTAAGGTTTATCCTTATAAATTGACCTTGTCCACAGACCTGATGAGAAAAATACACGTCTGCCATAACCGATGGAATACAAAATGGCGGCCAGGTGAAGATAGATAAAGACCTTATAAAGATAGTAAAACTTGTATATAGAAAAGGCTTATAGATATAGAAAGCAACCAACCCTTTACATTTATATTATTTACTGTCCTAAGACACGAAATAGTCGTCAATTACCCCATACCAGGGGATTTAAATTCGAAAATTTTAATTTATGATTCAAAAAGTTCACTTTTTCCAATTTTACGCTTAAAAAACTATGCGTTCTAGCGATAATAACGTTCTGTTTAAAATTAAATCTGTCAAAATTTGTAACAGAAATGTGGTTATATTCGTTTCTTCGCTCTCTTCTACAGTGTCCGAGATCATCGGTCCTCGTAAAACAAAATTGTCTTTTTGTGGCATTTTTATCACTATTTGACTCTATAACCTTTTATCTTTCTATTTTACGAAAAAGTCATAATAAAGAAAGCTGTTTTAGATTGAATTTTTTTAATTGTTCATTATTATTTTTTTAAATAAATGCGATTTTTGAAAATGGCTCTTAAAGCCGAAACGTTAAAAAACAATCATTTTTAAATGTATAATAAAAACTGTGAGATTAAAAAGGGTTTTGATAAATAAATAATCACTGATAGATTAAGTATAATAATTAAATTTTCTTTAAGAATATGTATTACCTAAATATCTTATTTTCAACCATTCAAAAGCTAGAACAATTATAACTTTACGTTTAAACTCCTCTATTATGCAGAAAAACTTACTTATCGTACATTTCGTTATTATATAGCTATAAATCATTATATAAGGCAACATATATATATATACATTGGTTTATGTTATATACATATTATATTTATGTCTACACGATTCGTCAAACAATGTCTGTTCAGACAACGGAAGCTTCACATAGAGCGCTGTAGGGATAACGGAGTACGGGCGGATCTACGGGGAGGGAGAAGTGGCTTTGGGGCTGAAGCCCCCCCAAAATGGTAAAATATAACCATATTTTATGGAAAAAAATATAAAAAAATTATCTCTTAAAGTATTATAGTTCGCGTAATTACATTTAAAAGCACTTTAGGAATCACTTAAACACCATTTCATGTAGGTAGTTAGTTTCTTTCTTTTTTTCCTAAGTAATTATCGGTATTTTTTATGATAAAAACGCTTTGGGGCTGAAGACCACCCCAAAATTAAATCCTGGATCCGCTAGTGTAAAGGAGGGATGTGTATTGAAGTGAATAATAAGTGTATATGTATGAAAACAAAAGGAAGTGTTTTACACCATCAGTCTCGTAAGTAAATAGGTCGTAAAACCTAAGCACGTAAACCTCGTATAATATAAATAGCAAATCGTAATTTTTTTTAAATAAATAAATCTAGGGAACAATGCTCTGTAAAGGACATTAAGAATTATTTTTCAACTTGACCTCAACGGCTAGTTTACCCTTCCTGAAGCTGCTCATTCCCTTCCGGATAGTTATCGGAAGATAGTGGAATCTAAGTGGTTCGTTAAGATTCTATAATGGCGGAGTGCTCTATCTCTGCGGGCTATCTCGGCATCGTATCGCTCCATATTAGCCGGCCTGATCAGTGTTAGTAGGTTGCTCGCTGAGCCAGATTCTTTTGACGTCGTCAGCGCTCTGAATATTACGAACCTTGGCGAGGTGGGCGTCTCATTGCTATTCCATGGGAACGCTGCATCTCGTGTCAGGTTCAACTCCCTCCCCGTGTCCCAATCTTTTATTTTTTTTTGAGGATAGAAGTTTTATCACGCGCATTCCGTCCTCAGCCATTATTGGAATTTATGTTTTGCTAGCTCGAATGCCTCGAATGGTGGTCGAGGAAAACAGTTCTTTTTCCATTTCTTATTTGATTGATTGATCTATTATAATTTTAGATTACTTGCTCATGTCGTAAAGTTTAAATGTATATTTGAACCCATTATAGTGGTTTAATTGAAAAATAGGAAGGAGGGGAGGAAATAATCCAATATACATGTAAAAGAGATGTAAGTACAAAACTGGAATTTGTAATTTTGGATAGCTTCCATGTAAAATAAATTTTAAAACGCAATATATAAATTCGGATATCCCTGCACCAAAACTTGAAATTGAGACCAGCGGTCAATCAAAAAAAAAAAAAATTGGTTTTTAAATAAATTTTTTTACAATTGTATTGTACAATAAAAATAAATCAGTATTTCGCTGAATCCTATCTATGGAACGTGTAATTGCTAGAATGGAAAAAAAGTTAAAGATTACGGAAATGGTGGACAGAACAAAAATAAATAAATTTTACAAAAGAGGGCAGAAGGATTGAAATTTCCATTATTTAATTTAAAGAGAAAAATTGCGTATGTTTTTGATGCGACTAAGTGGAATCAGTTTAAGTATTGGTATTCATATTTCAAAATAATTAGTTTTCAAAAACAATTATTATATCGATGAAAATATCAACTCTCGATAGTACCGATATTTCAAGTCCGATATTTTGATGATATCTATAATTATAAACCGATATTTCTATCATTGACAATATCGTATTGGGCTTTCGATATCGCCGTATTTATTATTCATTCTTTTTCAAGATTTATTTCGTCTTTACTTAAATTTAATTTTCTTATCTTTGTTTCTTAGGTATTTTGTTAATATTCAATCTGTTCATTTTTTTTATTTTTTATTTATTTTTATTGAAATATGTTATTATACTAATTATATCACAATTTTTTTTTAATTTCTTATATATGGTATACTGAATCCTAATAGCACTTATAACTTGGTAGATTTTATAATTTATCCATATAGACTTTTTTATTAAAGAATTTTTCCTAATATTTTTTTTTTGTTACAGGTATGCCAGTTACATTAATACTGTTCTGCATTCTTCCAAATATGATTTAATTTATGTAAGTCTTAGTTATTATTATGTATTTATTTCAATAATTTAGAAATTAAAGGTATGCTATAATTATAATTAATAATTATTAAGAAAATAAATATGGTTAGGTGGAAACTGATTGCCTCACAAATGGTAGAATTTAAACGCGATTCACGTGGAGAAACGTCTCTTATGCCTAAAAATCTTACTTTTTTCCTATTTGTACTCATTCAAATTAATAAAAAATAAATTAAAACGTAAAATACTGATCTAAAAATTTCAATACTTATTTAATAACTCGATTGAAGTATCTTGAATACTTTTCAAAATAGTTTAAAAACAAAAATATTCTGCGCCAAATATTTGCAAAGTTAGGTTTCGATATAATGGATCGAAAACACCATTTCGCGATATATTGAAGGAGGTTAGTCGAATGTTCTACACTTGAAAGGTGATAAATAGTCTGGACTCTGTCATTTTAAGTTTTTTATTTTTGCCAAAGTTTCAACCCAAGATTATGTGGGTCATCATCAGGGCATGTTATCAGCACTGAAGTTGAAGTTGAAAGGGTTTTTAAGCCTTTTCAGTACTGTTAATCATGCCCTGATAATGACCCAACTGTTTGTTTTGAAACTTCGGCAATAATACAAATCTTAAAATGACTGTATCCTGACTATTTATCACCCTTTCACGATATAAAAAAAATGGTTTAAAATTCAACTATTGATGACGTAAGCGGCAAGAACAAATCTTACTGTAGTTATCGGCTTTGATTAGCACCAGCAGTATTTCTACCGACCCATATTACGTTTCGCGGATATAATAAATTCCTGTAATAAAGGATAAATTAAAAATTAAATACATATATTTGGGGAATAGGGTTTATCCTTATATGTCCAAAACGTGTGTTATAAGAAAAGTCTATTGTCGTTTTTCATATGATCCAAGAACTACTCGTTCATAGTCATGCAGAAAATAAGGATTTCGAGTAAGAAGATAAACTATTTCTTGAATATTATAGAAGTAATAACAACGAAAGTGACATATCGGATTTCGGCATCGAAAGCAGTATCGGAGGCAGCCATCCGGCACGTGCTCAGACTGACTTCCTCTACCGCTATCTAATATCTAGTTTGTCTGATGGAGACTTTTTGGCGATTTGCTAAATGACTTGCCATCAGTAGCAGAAGTGGGTCGCAACACTTTCCACCGTTCTGACAATATTAATGCAATGGGCGTGTCCGCCGGCCCCGTCCATCCGACCAGATTGCCGGCGGGTTCCATCTCCGTTATTGGGCGGCGGCAGCTCATTTCGCTGATTGGTTTATCGGGGTCTGTGCATGTACAAGCTCTGCCCCTCATTTATCATTTATCTTCTCTGGTAGTATTTTTTTTTTTTTTTTTTTTTTTTTTTTGTGTCTTTTATCAGTTCAATACAATACAGGATATTTATGTTAGAAAACAATAAAATTAAAAATTTGGATGTGGAGTAAACACCAAAACTATTCAGTAAACCTTTTATAACATGCATTTTATATATTTATGTATTTTCCGGTTTGGCCCAATCCAAATACCTATCCTTCCATAACAAACTCCAGAACCATCCGAGCCCTCTCGTTTCAAACCTTGCTTCCTCCTCGATAACCCCCCGAGGCGTCTGAAAAGAAGATGGCCTCGTGATCTACTTATGTAAATATATTATTAGAGTGCTACCAATGGGTAGTTTCTCAACAAACGTTTTCATGTGATTTTCTTATTACTGTGTGCACATTTACTAGTTGTATTTTTTTATAATACAGTTGTAAAAACAATAAAAAAGAAATATATTTGTTTTGTTAAAATTCAAAATTCTCTGCATTAAACTAATTTAGATATCTACATAAATTTTTTTTTTCAATTATAACTCCTAGTCCGCTGATGTTCCTCAACAGAGGTGACCGTCCCCCCAAAGTCAATTGCCCATGAACTCCCGCCTCATTTTAAAGACATTTTATTGCCCTCCTCTTCTTAAAAACTGTCCAAGCAAAAGTAGAATTGGAGAAATCTTAGATCTTATTCAAATACACTTGCAGTGGTACGGTCCATATTTTCTCCTTGTTTCTTGGATCCTTATCCACACTGAAAAATAACCTCGTCGAAATGTGCCTCTCCCTCTCCTCGAAAATTCAAAACCCCTTCAAAATGTGTCCACCTCAAAATTTTTTATGGCGCTACGTGCGCCATGATACTCTTCCTTAAGATAGTATCCTGGATCCCATCCTTCACACAGTTTATACAACTGATATTCTATCAATATCATTAACATATATGCTGATGAAACATGAGTGTTATTAGTTAAGAATGACCTATTTATTGCTTCCCAAACCCTTCGGTCACGTATCACAGCCCTTTAAGAATGGTATTATAATTGGAGGATTAAAATAAGTCCATAATAATAAATAAATAAAGTCCATATAATAAAGCCCATCAAACAACCTTTACTCACCTTTAATAATACTTTAATAATACGCCACCTATCCTCGTTGAACAGATTCCCTGCCTAGGACTCCATCTGGACAAACTTATTTCTTGGAATCCTCATATAACACCGAAACGGAAACTGCTGGACGTTATTGGCTATTTCAACACTAACTAGAAAAACACGATAGGCTTCCAACCAATTATTCATGACTATAGTAAGGCCTAATTTAGTTGAATTGAGTTTTGGGGCTCCATCAAAGCATCAAATTCCTCTCGTATCCAATTCTTAAAATATTCTACTGATAATTATTTGTTAAAGTAAAGAACAAAAAAGGGTATCTACAACAAAATGTATTATATATTATATGCATAACTTGTTGGCCCGTGAAAATAATTCGCATATTATATTGATCAGTGAAAAAATGTAAATACAACATATTATAAAATGGAAGGATTAATTTACTTTTCATCGGTTGATGCCTTAGCTTCATTCAAAATAACCCAAAAATGTCTACAAAACGTAAGGACATGAAAAACACAAAATCGTAGAAAAAAAATATGTTTGACAAGAATTTGTAATATTTATGCCTACAATTATATTCCATATTGAGAACAGTCACACAAACTACAATGTTAGTAAGTGTAGCTTATAAGGATAATGTGATGCTTGTAGAAAATGATAATACATGTTATTGCATCATGACCTCCATTACGGACTGTTTTATCTTCACCTACTATCTACTTGGAAATCTTTTGAACACATTTCCACATCTCCTCTATTTCAACGTTGCTATTTAAGCAATGCTGGCTTATTAGCCGTAATTTCGTTTATGAATTTTAACTCAATTTATGGAATAAAAACATGCAGAATTAATTGGCTGATCACAATCAGAAATGTTTACCCACAATTACGTGCAACAGCTACGTGAATGAAATAGAAATATCCTAAACATTGTCAAGATCAGAATCTTTATCTTTATAAGTACCTATGAACTGGAAAGATCCAATTCGATGTTGTTGATTTTCAAATATAAGTAAATATTAAGAAGAAGATTACATATGTACGAAATTCTGGGATGCATACCATACATAAGGTTACAGAAAATACGTGGAATGCCTCTTTGTAAGCAAAGAGAGTTCCTTAGCTCAGCGCTAATCCCTTAGGTGGAACCCATAGGTTGAATTCAACTCCGATGGACGGCGATTTATGTTGAGATTAGGAATGATATGCTAGATTCCAACGGAAGGGTAATTCTCCAAACTCATGAAAAATAAATAAAAATAGATATGGATATACCTACTTACTTCTTCTTCGAATTTTCCTCAAAAGGTGAGGTCCGGGATTAAAAGTATAAATAAAGACATTTCTAAAGGATACCTACCTAATATAATAAGAATACCTACCTACTGAATTATTGAGTTTCGAAACAGAAATAAATATAGGTAGAAATCAAACTGAATATAAATATTTACAGTAAATGCTAAAATAACAACACTAAGGTTTTAATGAGGTTACATCCAGCGGATCCATCGAATTAAAAGCTGATGGAACCAGCTCTGAGGCGTTGGTGATTCAATCGATGAATAAAGAAACGCGCTGATTTGCATCTACAGGAATGGTTAATATCACCATATTGTCTAGCCGAGACATATCGCACTCTATGTGTAAGACACTTTAGAATGATGAAGTTAGATATAGTATGCTTGTTTTTTTATTTGTGTTATGTTACGTTCTTCAGTTCTGATGATGTCTCAATTGCTGTGAGTTGACTGATGAGTTATTTATAGTCATTTGAAACACGGGAGCTTTGTTTTGGAATATCCCGTTGGATCAGAATGTTGTTGTTGTTTTTTTTAATTTGAAGCAGTTAATTATAAAAAAGAACTGCTGCATGTATTACAAGATAAGCCTCTCCTTACATCCACCCCACGAAGCGATCAGACTAGTACATGAATAATCCTTGTAATCCTGAGAACTCCACCGTCAATCTAGAAGTACCGTTACAGTGTGACAGCCCTCGTGACGGGAGACTCCGCTAATGGATAGTCGTTGGTGAGCTGTGGGCGACGTACAGTGTCACATTAAGGTCACCAGGGAATATTTTACCTCAGTTCTCTGGCCACTACCAGAGGTGCGGTTGTCCGCTATTCCAGTCTCTTCTGGAGCGGTGTTCTTGGCGGATGGTTATCAAACTGGATCATGAGCGAGGTAATCCAAACTCAATATGTCTAAACTACTTTGTGATTAACTCATCAGAGCAAAATTCTGATTAACATCTCTTATTGATTTTTAAAAAGCCTTGGATTCGTTAAGACATGAAATCCTGTGGAGAATGCTTGAGAGTTAAGGAATTCCTCGTGTGATGGATACAAATGTCGAGTTATCAATAAGAGTTTCGAACACAATTAAAATTGAAACTGGTGTTTTCTCGAAAAGCAACATGAGAGCCATGCTTAGGGAACGAATGAATAGGATTCCATTGTGATCAGAGAGAGAAAGAGTGACTACGTCGAAGTTCTTTGTCTTCTTGCACAGCGGTTGTTGCATCGTTAAAGAAGATGA